CCATCCGCTGGAAGGCTATCTCTCACAGGCCTGCTGGAGCTGAAGGGTGTGTGGGACACCCAGCACTGAAGAACCAACTTGTAGCAAAACGTGGCTGAAATAGTGGGCCATTTAACGCAACAAGTTCCTCGACATGCCTTCCTGACCACAGCCTCTGAGAGGGGGCCTACAGGCAGTCATGTCGATCTCCTTTTTCAGAGCATATATCCCTGTCTGACTGTCCTGGTGACCGTCTCACTTGGATGTCTTGCCCGAGGCTTTAAGCGTACCAGGGAGGAGGGGGCCTTGTCCTTTGGGATCCTTCCTGGGCCCCAGCACCCAACAGGGGCCTGGCCACTTATTCCACCCCACTAATATATTCTTGAACTTTTGCTGCTGTTAGGGGCGTGTGAATGACAGCAGATGAAATCCTTAATTGTAGTGTTGCAGATCCACCAGGGTCAAGATCCATCTGAATGGATAAAGATTCCACGTTACAGAGGAAAAGAAAGCTGATTTGTCAGGTGCAAACACTGTCACTTTGTCACTGGAAATTTAGTTCTTTTTTAACAGATCAAGAATGGTTAGACTATGGCGATGGTACACTGATGAATTGTTGGTGGGAATCCCACAGGGACTCTACCTGAGATGATAAAGCATACATTGTATAAAAATGAAGAATGATGTAAAAATATATAAAATAAGTTAAAAAAACTAGAAAAAATAACTTACAAAATCAGAAAAAAAAGAGAATGTTTTGTTTTCAAGAACTTTCTACTGACCACTGGCACATATCCACACTCACAAACTCCCACGGTCCACATGTCGTGGAAGGTTTGACCCTGTGAGTGACACTGCAGACTGCTCAGGACATGAGGCCCCCCCTTGGGAATGTGGGTGCAGTGGGGTCACTACTTCTGTTTGTTTTGACATAAAATTTCTGTATTCTGTAATCACTCTGGGTCAAACATGACATTCTGTTTGAACGTCTGCTTTGGACCATGTGAGCCACTCATGAATAAAAGTAAAACTTTGGATGTACAGACTTGAGTTAATCCTAATCCTTGAGTCATGTCATATTCTCATGACTGGGACATGCTCAACTCTCTTGTATCATTCATTCATTCACTCATTCATTACAGGCCACCAGTTTGCAACCCCTGGAATATACATGGTGCCAATTACAAATGAACGTTAAGTAGGTAAATGGTGTCCCTGCAATTGCCGTTTGTGGCTAATTAACTCAGCTAAGGCTTTTCTAGGTGGTAACTCAGGGCCACGGCTGTAGTGCGGGCTCTAGAGAGAGACCACTTGGGTTTCTATCTAGGTTATGCCCTTGAACATAAGCAAATTATTGCACCTCTCCTGGGTTCATTTTTCTCACTTGTCCAATCGGGGTTTGTAAAGCCATTGAGAACAGTAAAGGAGATAATCCATGTTAAAAGCACTTAAAACAGTGTATGTAAAAGACACCCGGTTGACCTTGGCTCCTACCATCATTGCTAGGGAGAGCAAACCTCATTTCATACTGTTAGTAATGCGTGAATTAGGATAATGCAAGAATTAGGATAGATCTGGAAGCAGAACATGCCATTCTGATTCCAACAAGGTTATCATATCTTTAAAATCCAACAGGATTATAGATGAGGCTGGACAAGAGAATCCAATTTCTCTCCCAGGATGGTTTTGTGTGACCTGATGATTCTTTCTAAAGTTGTTGGCCAGAAGCTTCCCTTGACTGTTTTACATGGCAGTGGTTCTCAAGCTTGGTCATTTGAGAATCACCTCAAGGGCTTGAGAACACAGGCCACGAGCCCCCTCCTAGTTTTGGATTCAGGAGGCTGGAAGAAGGAGCTGAGGATTTGTAACAAGTTTCCAGGGGTTCTTGCTGCTGCTGGCCCAAAGAACACACTTTGAGAACCACTAGTCTAAGCAATTGACTATGATGGGGTCAAGCAGCAGTCAGGAAAGTCTTCTTGGAGATGATGGCCTTTGAGGGAAACCCCAGTTTGCCAGGTGGAGAAAAGATAGCAGCGGGAACACAGACATAGGCCAGTAAGTGCTGGCAAGGGAATGCAGAGATGAAACTGCAGGTTCCCCTGACCCCAGAGGTACAAGGCATGGAAGGTCAGGTGAGTAGTCCAGGCCCCATTCTGGTGACCTCTTTAACAAGAACCTGGTTTTAGAACCTGGGAGAGACGTGAGTTGCGCTGGCAGCAGTGTGAAGGGTGTTTCAGAGAAAGAGGTCAGGTGAGAGGACAGGGAGGCAGTTTGGGGACAGGAACAGGAAACAGCCTCAATTCTTAGCCTTCCTGTAGCACCTGGAGTTCTACTATAGCACTATTCTCAAACTAGGGATTTAGCTTTCCAAAGATATGAGATGAAGTAGTGGGCTGTGACCAGCATTAAAAAAAAGATTGAGGGCCTCCCCGGTGGCGCAGCGGTTGAGCGCTGGGTTGCGAAGCTGCCCGCAGCCTCTGCAGCGCTGGTTTGATCCCCGGCTGCTCCCCGGCCACCTGAGGAGGGTCCCACATGGCGCGCAGACCTCTCCTGCCGCCCGCTGCTCCCCTCAGCAGTGTACTTCGGTCCTTCTGCCTGCTCTGCTCCCCGCTCTGGCTCTGGTGAATTCTCTCACCCTCCCGCGCTTCTGACTGTACCCAGTGCTTGTATAATTAAATAAATAAATAAATAAATCTTTAAAAAAAATTTTAAAAATTAATAAATAAAGATTGAGAAGAGAATGGAAACTATGTTGTGGGCAGGATGCATGCGGACTACAATCAGAGAGATTTGAGAGTCGGGCTTCCAAGCAGGCATCTAGCTCACAGAACAGTTCAGGAGTGTAACCTGCCTTGGCTACACGCCAGTCAGGGCCCTGCCCTGGGGGCTCTCTGAACCCCAGAATTGGAAGGGCTAAGTGGAGGGTGAAGGAGGTGAGGACAGAAAGCAAGCTAAACCCTTGGGGGAATCCAAAAAGAGAGGAACTAGTGAAAAATGAGGCACTTAGGGGAGGCTTTACTGAGAACGCTTAAGAGTTTGACCTTAAGGATGGCTCAGATTCTAATACCAGGGAAGAGGCCTGCAGGTATTGGAGATAAACAGTTGCTGAGAAGCACAGGGAATGGTCATTCAGCTTGGCTCGTTAGACTGTGAGATGGCAAATAAGGTTTTAGAAAGTACTCTGAAGTCCAGCAGAGATACAAAGATTAAAAGAGCCTGAAGAAACCTGAAATAACAGTCAACAAATTCAAACTATAGCTGAGGAAACAGACCTGTTTGCCCAGTCTGCCCAGCATAGGAACTTGGCTTTGAAGGTTCAGGTTCAGTTCTGTTCTGGGCCACATGGAGTGTCCGAACACTGGCGTCGGGTTCAGCCCCAACTTGCCTGTGTCAGGGAGCCAGTGGACATTTTGGGCAGGGTAGTGGGTCCAGAGTCCTGTCAATACTCTGGGTGTTCTGATTAGACCCTGCCCCAGTCCCCACTGTCCCCACCAGGTGAGAACATGAGGCCTGAGTTAGAAACCCTGGAACCACCCACCCACCCACTTCCTTTAGTCCTGCCAAGCGTGTCAGCCAATGTTTAGAAAGACAAGGACTTCCTGACACTGTGATCGGAAGTTTGCCAGCGAGATCTGTCTTATGCGAGGGTGGTTGTCCATCAGGGCTACACGCCACTGACTGGCACTGACAGGCCAACTCACCCACTCCACAGGAGACTGGGTCTACCACCTGTGTGCCCTTAGGCCTCCTTATGTTCAGACGGTCTCATTTAACACACGAAGGAACAGTTGCAGAGAGGTCCTGTGATTTGCTCAAGGTCATAGAAAACTGAAGGCCCAGGGGCGCAGGGGTGTTCCGGGCCTCTGCCTGAGGCCCTGGCTCCTTATCGCAGGCTTCCAGGTATCCAGGTGGGAGATACCAAGGACTCCAGCTTCATACCTGTGATAGTAGCACAGGAAGACCAACCACTTTACACTGTGGAATTGACAAGTGTTTGATAGAATTTTCTAATAAACAATCATCTTGTATTGAAAGTAAAAGCCCTGTGTCTAAGAAATTGCCCTGAAAAAAACAAGTGACATTTTAAAACACATGAAAAAAGTCCACGCCACTTTTGCTGCCTTTCCCTCAACTGACCTGAGACATAGTTTTTTGTTTTTTTTTTTTTCAGGATGGATACAAACGCACACCAAAACGTTTTGCACACCCCACAACTGCTGGGCTAAGCACGCCACAAAATTCTGTCTCAAACCTCTCTTTATGCTACCTACATCTGTACGCCGACAGTCACATCTTTCCAGCCCTCCACCTTGATTGAGTCAGAAAAAGAATAAACAGCAAATGCTGTTGCAAATATCCATCCAAAATGGTAATTATTGCGTCATTATATTCGCTATTTTACTTGTCATGTACCATTAGGAGGTAACAAGATCATTGTCAGTCAAAGATTGTGGAGATAATTAGAGCATCTATAGGTTAGCAGGAAATCAAATTGGTGCTGCTACCCATCAATGCCGGGGAGCTGAACATAATTAGAGGGAAAATATGCAAAGGTTGAGATGAAGGAAGCCCCAGGGATTAAATACCGTGACTGATTTGAGAGTTTGACTCTTGTGCTTTCTGACATTACAGATGGCGACAGGAAAATAAGACGCACAATGGGAAGAAGGGAATCTGCCAGAAGCAGCAAATCAAGCCGCCCCTGATGTCGAGTCTGCAAGGTCCCAAGAACTGTCTGATTTGGAAAAACACAGTGTTTATCGTGTTTTCCAATCCACTAGTTTTTCTTCAAACTGTTTCCTCCAGTCTGGGTGTCAGGTGTTAACAAATAAGAGCAGCAGTGAGTCAAGTGGGCCTTTATTCGAGCAGTCCCTGCTCCCCCATCCTGAGCTTCCTCAGCCTGCCAGCCCCCAGCTCCCACTTGCCAGCCCCCCACCCCTTGCAAGCTGCAGGAGGGCGCAGGCCTCCCCCTCCCAGGGTCTTTCACTTTCACCCCTACATCCCAGTCGGCAGCCACCCACATCCAAGCTGTTTTTGATTGGCTTTTTCAATAAGATACAAACACAAACAGCACTTCGATCAGGTTGCCACAAGAAAATTTAACAATTTTTACATCTTGGAAAAAACAAAACAGGCTTTCGAGGAAGAGGGAGACGTCTGCAGACCGACGGGGGCAATGCCATGTCGCTCCATGGAACAGAATCAACGACAGGAAAAAAATCTGGAAGGTCTGATGTGACATACAACTGACTGAGCCCACAGACTGAAATGCAAAGGAACAAGCAAGCAGAGACACTTATCAAAGGCCCCAACTCAGACCTGTCATCAACACAGATCAAGCAAATGCTGCGTTTTGAAATAAGCCCGTGACATAAAGGGCACTTGCTGTATCATCTACAAAACCCTACGTGCCTTCCCGGGACTTACAGTATTTTGCTTAAAACATACAGAACAAACAATTCCACAGCTGACTGTGGGGACACGGCAGGGAGCAGAGATGGTTCCAGCAGCTACAGGCCTACTGAACCGGGTCGGGCCGCTTGGCCATCGCAGCCAGCCTCGCCTTCTCACGTGGGCTGGGTTCAAGGTTCAAGAGCCAGGTCTTGCAAGTATGGCTTCTGCCCTAGGGTAAGGATGGCCATCTCACACAAACAAGCAGCTGGAAGCTTAGTTCACATTTTTTAATAACATGGCACAGTTTACATTACACAAGAAGGCTCCGCCGATGAGAACATGCTGAAGATTCAGTCGCTTCACTTTTCTTTTCACATAGGATCTAGAAAGGACTTTATTACATACAGGATAAACAGCAAAAAGGTCTGTATAGAACAATCTCTTTACAATACTGAAAGCTACCACTACAGTTCCAGTGTACATATTCCTTGGATTTTTTTTTCTTTTTAGTTGTTGTCTTTAAAAAAAAAAAAAAAAAAAAAAAACACTGCACAACATCTGGAGTTCACAAAATCTGAAGCTCACAACTAAACCTTCAGTTTACTACTAAAATAGATCTCTCTGCTTATTAGAAACAATGGTCTGTAGTTAACTTTTTTTTTTTTTGCAAAAACAGGATAACAACGTCAGATAGCACTTTAATATACTAGAAGACCAAATGGAACTAATTTTATTTCATACATATATTTTACAGTCCAGTAGACAAGATATATTGTATTTCTCTGCTAGTAAAGTCATATTCTCTCCAAATATGTAGACAAGAGGCTTAATGTATTATAAAAGTATTATGAAGAGACATTAAGATTGATGCAAACTTAAAAACACACGCACACACAAGACCTTGTCTCTGCCACCTTTCATCCTCTGTAACTCTCCATGGCTCCATGAGATTGACCTGCTACGGTTATTCCCAGACTTTATTACCAACTGGAATACAAGGAGTCACGTCAGGAATGTGTGCCCTACACTTATCAGGTATTGACTACAGTGAAAACATATCCATCATCTGAGAAAACGCGAAGCTTTCTTTCAGGATGTGTTTGGGTGGAATTACATCTCGTTACAAAATGAGGAGGTGTGTACAGATAGGAAACAGGACACACTGGAAAGAGGCATGGTTCCCACATGAGGTGTGTGTGAAGTCACATGACCGGTGGTGACGAGATGCTGGCGACCTGTTTGTGTCCCCTGATTTTGGCATCTGACAACTCCCATCCTCCCTGGCACTGGTTGCTCATGTCCTCGGCTACCTTTCTGGGGCTGCACGCTCCCCCCAAGAGCCCACAAGCAGCAACTTCAGATGCAAAGTTTCAGCCTGGGGTCCAATTTTGCAAGATCGGATGTTTCTCCGTTTGAAAAACAAGCAAGGAAAACAGAGTCATATCACGTAAGCGCTTGTTCAGGGAAAATATGACCTTAAGTATGTTGTAAATGGATTTGAAAAGGCTCCTTTGAGTTAGACGGGCTTTTGTGAAAAGCCCTAACATTCATTGCATAGTTGAAGGGTTTAGCTGTCTATAACAATATATGGGAACCCAGCCGTGGAAGGCTGTGTTCACTGATATTAAGTTTGCAAATAGCACATTTTAAGAAGTATTAATGTATTATGTTACTTAATCTTTAGCTATTTACATTTGTACAAAGTAAAGCTTTCATCTTACCCTTTGCATATATGAACCATTAGCTCACGAAGCAATTCTCTTTTTACAGAACTATGTACATGGCCTTCCCTTCTCCTCTGAAAGAGCTCTGCACGGTGGACTGAGTGGACTCCTGCCCCCACCCTCCCCACTACCACCAAATTGGTGCGGGTTGTCATATTCACTGTTTTGGTTCAAATTGAGAAGTTTTATACGAGAGACTAAAAGAGTAGGAGACGTGAGAACATATGACTTGGCTAAAAGACCTGAAAAATTTCAACTTATAATATACAAAAACATTTCAAAATCTGCACCGAGTCTATACATTTTTTTACAAGGGGAGCAGCGAGGGGCTCCTCCCCCGGCAGTCTGTGTGGATGATGTGGGTGTTCTCTGACTTCTAAAGTCTTGCCGTTGAGTTGGTGTAGGGTTTCCGCTTCCTCTTCTGTGTCCTGTTCTTTCCTTATCGAGCCTCAATATCCTTCAGGGTGTGAGAAGGAGGCCTCTCCCTTATCTCTGCTGACAGAGGAGTAGTCCTCCTGGGAGAGACGGGGCGCCCCCCCAGGGTAGAAATGAGTGGGGGGGGCGCGCTCAGCGCGGCTGTCGGAGGGGTCTTGTTGAGAAGTCCGTTCTGGTGCCCCGTGGTGGGGCTGATTCTGGGGTAGTGCATGCTGGGGAGTCCTGGAGTGATGAGGCTGGGGTGGGGGAGGTGTCCGTCGAGCGAGGCGGGGTGCACGGAATGGAGCCGCGTATGCTCGTAGTCTTCTCTGAGCATGTGCAAGCGCTCCCGCTCATCCAGGTGGCCCCCTCGCTCGTGTTCCCGCCGTGGGTCCACAGACAGAGGGTGGTGGTGGTGGTGGTGGTGGTGGTTGTAGTCGTGAGGCTCCCGGTCCCTGAAGGAGCGATCAGCTTCATACAGCCGGGGAGTCGAGAGACGGTGGAGGGGGTCGTTCCTCAGCAGAAAGTCCCTGCCCAGCGGGTCTCTCCGATGAATGTCAAGTTCTCGGTAGGGATCCCTCAAAGGGTCCCGTATGGGGTCCCAGTGGAAAGAAGGATATGGGAAGCGCTCTCCCCCTGGGATGGGGCTGATGCCCATGAAAGGGGTCATCATGCGAGTCCTATCCAGACTGCTGATGCTGTTCATGGGGTGAATACCCGTCACCCCCACCGTCATGGGCATCGAGGCCAAGGGCCCGGGGTGTACACCGGACGAGGAGTTTGGAGGAGGCGGCTCCGAAGCCCGGTGGGCCGGCGGGGCCTCGGGAGGCAGGTCGTGGTCCTCCTTGCGTTCCTCCTTCACCTTGACCTCCGAGCTCTTCTTGGGGTTCTCATAGGCTGGCTCGTTCTTGCGCTGCTCCGCCTCACGGCTGGAGGTGCTGTTGGGCCTGGCACTCTCCACGACGGGGGTCCGCACGTAGGGTGAGGGCACCCGGGCCAGCTGCTTGGCCTCGTCCCCCACGGCTCGGCCCTCGTGGCTGTGGCCGTCCTTCTCTGGCAGGTGGGCCTCCTTCGCCTTGTGCTCATCGGCGGTCAGGTCTTTACGGGATTCCGAGTGGTCTCTCTCCCTCTCTTTGGATTTGTCTTTCTCTCGAGCCTCAGTGTTCAAATGACCCCTGATCTGTTCAGCGGAGCTGCGGTTATGTCCCAGGGTGCCCACCGGGAGGATAGGTGCTGGTGAAGGGTGGCTAGAGTGTCTTTTCTCAACGCTTTCCCTGAGGGAGGAAGAGGGAAACAAGAAGCAAATGAGGTTCGTCGGTCTGGCACGGGGCTGCCAATGAAATGGTGGTGTGAAAAGGACGGGGTCTGCGTCCCACGGCCCCTGAGACGGCTGGGCATGCCCTCTATAGGGCAAAGCCAGCCACCCTGATCTTACACCTAGACTTGAGAGGAAGCTTTATGGGGGTGAAGTGCTAGGGATGAGGGTGAATAGGAGGCTCTGAGGGGGAGATGATTTTTTTCTACATCTAAAAGTCACATGCTCAATCAAGACCACAGAAAGAGACAGCTTCCAGAAAGCTGGGATGGACCAGTGTGGCCATAAGTCCATGATGGGGCTATGCGGCCCGTCTGTCTAGATTCTTAGGATCCCTTATTGTTAGGAAGGTTAAGAGCCCAAATGTGAATGTGAATATGACTTGCTACCCACTTTGCAATACAGAACCAGTGGAAGGAAGATTTGAACATAAATATTACAGGAGCTGACACTCAGGACAAGTAACCTGTTCCTAAAGTATTTGGCTACAGAGTCATCTCCAAGATGTAGTATGTGAGAGGGAATGGGTTGAAAGGCGACCACCACACTGGACTTGTGAGTCGCAAAACAACTTTTGAAAGGTTAAGAATTCCAAAATCTGATGAGAAGGAGGAGGAAAGCCAGTAGGAAAAGCAGGGGCACAGACACACGATCTCATGGGGGAAACAGAGAACAATTTTAAAGAGCACCTGTGAATGAAAATGTGAAACAAGAATTTGACAGTCCCATCTTGGATAGAGGCTTAAGAATATGGGGTAGAAACGGCAAAGGAATAGAAAGTCAATTAGCTAAAACTTCAAGGGTTGAGACTAAGAATCAGGCAAGTCTTAGGGACAGTCCCAGGCAGATATAACCAAAAGTGGGGAGATGAGCAGGAATGGCCAGGTTCAGTGGGCCAGGGTGAGGACATCCAGGAGGGGTCCTCTAGTAATCTTGTTTCTAGCCAACATGCAAGGGCTGGGAAGAAGAACATTTTTAAAATGTAAGAATACAGAAAAGTATTGGGTTTCTTAAGTTTAATGCGAGAGGCCATTTTGACTCCATTGAGAATAACATGGAAGGGTTTTGCCACATCCTGCTTTCTCTCCAGACTAAGGTGCTTATGGTATAGGCTGAGCCCACCTAAGCGTACCTCACTTTGGGGGTTCACAGATCAGAGGTGAATGTCACACATAGTCCCCTCCATTGTTTGAAAGATTTGTATCATACCGCCTTGCTGGAAAATTTGTCTTTTTCTAAGAAAGAAATCAGTAAGCATGATGGTCGGTGATGAATATCTACTAATCAGCCACATTAGTGCCTGCAAAGTTGAATTCTTTTCAATCACTAGGATACACATACATACATACACACAATATACACAATAACGAAAAATGGAAAGATTCTGGGTCATCATTGAGTCTCGAGCACCAAAAGGAAATTGTTACTAGATCTTTGCTGTTAAGCATATCTTGTGTAATCCTTGCTTATTGCTATGTTCAAAATGGAAATAGCCTACAGAGAGAGTGGGGGAGAGCTACTTTGTCAAGAATGCTTATGACATTCTTTAAAAAATACTATAGGATATTTTCCTCTTTGAGGCTACTTGTTTTTCTAGGCCTGGGTTATGAAGTACAGAGATAAAAATGGTTAGTAAAATTAGTTACCAACTAGCAAAACAAAACCCAAACCAAAAATGCTTGTTGACGTTTCTCTGTATCTAGGTTAGCAAATTTTTAATTATCTGTAAGCCCCGGATTTAAGTTTGAACAACATTTGAGAAAAATGATGAGAAAATGCAAACATGACTTTCTGAAAGAAAACAAATGGAAAGAGGAGAAAGAGAGAGAAAAACCTATGGATGATGCAATGGGCTGCACGACTGGAAAGCAAATATGGTATTGATTCATGCTGTGTGTGTTTGGTCCAAAGCTCCAACTCACTATCTTTCAGAGAAAGATTTCTATTGGGGTACACTAATGCTCACAGGGACTGCGGAGGTTCTGAATGTGTAGCTGCTTCTGTCAGGAACCTTCTGCTACGCTAGCATTATAGTCTATGGTCACGATGCACTACGGGGCCAGCGAGTATGCATGCCCTCTGGGGCTGGGGGCTGGGGCGCCCTGGCTGTGTGAGGAGCTGGGGCTCCAGGGCCAGCTGAAGCCCAAGGCTGGGACGGGGAGGATGGAAGGCCGCTACGTGGCACAGAGGGGGCTCCCCCATTGGGACTCGAGAGCAGTTACTTTCCGTACCTTTCTTTGTCATCTTTACTAACAGATGAGTCTCGTTTATCTACATCTCTATCTCTGTCATGAGCTGCAGCGGACGCGCTACGCTCCAGCTCCCCTGGCTTCAGCCAGGGCGGAGGGGTCGGGAACGACGGAGGCGTTCGGTGCAGCCGGTTCCAGGGCTCGTGAGGGTTGCTAAAGTTCTGCACACTGGGGCCATCCTTGTGGCCGAACATTGAGTTGGGTGCTGAAATGGTGAAGTGGAGAACAAAAAGGTTTAAGAGAAATTATATAATCTGCTGTAATGAAGGTACTTACCAAAAAACTTTTAACAGCATTCAGAGTTAAAATGAATACATATTATTGGGAGCTGGAAAAGGAAAGGAGATTAACAAATTCATTAGAGGAACACTTGTCCTACACTGGAGAGGTAGCTCACAGTTTTTTTTTTTGTTTTGTTTTGTTTTGTTTTGCTTTTTGTTTTTAAACCAAAGGGAAAGGGATGGGGGAGAGATTAAAAGGGAAAGGGACCCAACAAACTCAAGATGACCTAAGTGAACACCTGGTCGTGCAGAAGCCCCAAGCATGCAGAAGGGCGGATTCTGACACGTGGCTAAGCTACATCGTGCTCCCTTCAGAGTAGGGTTCGCCTCTACCCAGCCTGTTGACGTGCGGCTAGGCTTTCTACGAGTTTAGCAAACTAAAACCAGGGTCGCCGGAGACCAGGCAGGAGATCGCCACACTAGATGGAACTGCCATGGTATGCTCGGTGCTGACTGAGGTCTCCTGCACCCAGAAAGCATGATCTATGAATGGCACGGAAGAAAATAAGTTGCATAGTTGGTGACTAAATAATGTTTTTAAATACAAGCAGGAGCAGGAGCTGCAACTCTTTTCCCGTTGCATAGGCTTTTTCGTAGCAAGAAACAACATGGTCCTCACAGAATACGCAAAGTACAAAACCTGCTGACTCTTGACTATCCTGGCCTGGTATTGTTCTACCACTATTCCTCACTGTTTTGCTTTTCCCCCCAAGCCCCATGAATGGCAAAAGCAACATGAAATTTTAAAGTTGTTTTGCTTTAATGGGCGCTGTGCTGAAGTCTTGGATGTAGAAATGGAACATGGATGAAACTATGAATGTGAGCCAACTCTTTGTTCAGTCAACTCTATTACCTTTCCTGGCCCCTCGGTAACCAAAAACTAATAGTAGACTGCCTGTAAAACCTTGGTTTTGGTGCCCCTGCAGATTTATACCTAAACTTCATTTTCAGGCTTACTTTTGCGATGATATAACCTAAACTGGTTTCCCTGGAGCACAGTGTCATTTTATCTAGAAAGATCGTGAGCAATAGACAGGTCAGAGAAGACAGACAGTCCAAGGCAGATTTTTAAAAAGTCAGAGATACTTACTAACTGAAGGATTTCCAAGTCCCCCGAAGGCATTGCCACCAACTGCTGCTAGGCCCGTGAACGTAGACGGCCGATTAAAAGGCTCTGCAAATGAGATTGCGGAGAAGGAAAGGGTTGCAGGACTCTACTGAGGGCCAACATGAGAGCTTCCCGGCAGCTGGGAAAAGCAAGGCGGGACCGCTGCCATCCCTGTACTCAGCCCTGATCTGCCCCACTGTCCTTACCAGGTTATGTAAAAAGTTTTTCTTGCACTTGGGTTTGTGCATTGGGTCAGCAAATATTTACTAGAGCACTTTTTCAGTACTGCGCCTGTGGCCCAAACCCCCTATTGGGGGTGAGGAACATCATTCAAGCCACGATGTTCTAAGAGGCCTCCCTGCCCAGCTGTCCCCTTCCAGGAGTGTGCACTCTAGGCTCTCAGAAAGGAACAGAAAGAAGAAGACATCTCTTAAAATACACCCCTCGATGACATTCTGAAGGTGCAAATTTTATACACCCTGCTGTTCATACCACAGTCTGCGTCTGCTTGAACTCTTGCAGAAAATACCAAATAAAAAAAGGCCACAAATAAAATGCACACCTTGTGTAGGAAAAGACATTCACAGGGCAGTGAAATGTGAAGTGCATAATGTGAAGTGATTAAAAAATACTGGGCAATGTCTCATCACATCCTCTTGTCTTTCTTTCCACCTCCAGCAGGTGCCCCTAGATACGGGACAGGAGCTCACCACTGTTCTCCAGTGCAGGAGCAGGGTATTATAAAGGAGGATGTCCTGAGGTACCAAGGCATGGCCTTCACCCCCTGCGCCGTCACTAACTGGGTCAGTGCCACTGTCAGCAGTGACAGAACTATTCTTGAGCACAGATATTCCACTTTAAGAATGTGGCATAAGAGGTGTTGAAATCCTGAAGATGCATGGCAAGTATTCAAACTTCTACGAGAACACCTCCTTTCCCTAAGAAGTAAGTGGGGTTTGTAGCATTCTGGCCACCTTGCCAGGAAGTTCGGCAGGAGCTCGGTACGGACAAGTTTTCTGAAATTCATAAGTCACTTCCCATTACTATCGGCAACTCACCTAGGTGAGCAGCAGGGTTAAGGAAATTGCTGTGATGAGGAGGCGGCCCAAAAGGGGTCCCAGTTGGGTGTGCAGCACCTGTGAAGTCAAACATAAAAAAGTCACATTTCATAGGAAGTCATTTTCTACAGTGCAATAGTCTCCAACTTGCTTGAGGTCCCCAGGAGAGAATATGTTACAGTAAGAACGTGGGAGGTGGGGGAGCCTTCAGGTAACATAGCGGGTATAAAGATATGTCATATCAGGAACAAGGAAATAATCACCCCCTTTCCTCTTCCCAAACTGGGCTGGCCATCACCCAAAAGGAGACAGCACGTTCTTTAAGATGCTGACACAATATGAGACACATGGAGACACAAGGCTGAGGGCATGGGGTTCTACGACCAAGCAAGCTGGGAAAAATGGCCGGGTGGCAAAGTGTTAAGCAGGGCTCTTGCTGAAGGACTTCTTGGAGCCAGCAATCTGTTCATGGGCCTGTGCATCCTCTAAGAGGCAACGTTTGGTCATGGGATACTTTCTTCACAGATCACCTTGGGGAACAAGACTTGCTTTGAGAATCACAATTCCGGAAACTGTACATTTTATAATCCTTGGCATAGGAGCAACTCTCACGCAGCTGCATATCTGGGCTACACTGCTGTGGGCCCTTGCAGAATCCCTCTTCCTGAAGAATATGTTAGTTGCCATTGAAGAATATATCCCGCCTGGCCCTCGGAGATTCGGCGTTGTGAGTTATGTCGTGAGTTATGTAGGTTACGTGAGATGAAGGCTTCCAATTTCTTGCAATCTTCAGTGCCAGGAAAAGGGAGCTCATTCATACGTTTCTGGACAAACTTAAAGCCAACTCTGTCAGCCTTTACAATGCCTGCCAGGGAACTGAGCTAACTTAGTGGTCTTCTCTCCTTTCGTTTTCCTTTTATCCACATTCTCTCCTTTTTATTTCTCTACTTTATATTTTGCCTTCTACAGTAAGTGTTTCACTAAGATGCCTCAAGTTCTCTTCTTAGGAAGATGGCAAAGGAAAGAGGAAAAGACAGAAACAGAGAGGGGGCCTACACGAATGAGGTAAGGACAGTATCAGTATTTCTAAACGCTTAGGACAGCATGCTGGCTTATGAATATGCAGCTGCTAGCTGAGGTGGGCAGCTTTCTGGGAGGCAGGCTTGATTCTAGACAAGAGACGGGCCAATGTCATCTGGAGAATTTCTTTAGTTTATTTCAGGCACTAGTGCCCAACAGCAAGATGAAAGTGGCTGAACTAAACAAACAAGTGTGTGTAAATTATACCTGGCAGCATAAGGTTGTACCAAATAACTACTTCCCACAAAATCCAATATTGCTTACACTGCAAAGGATGACCTTTCAGAATGGAAGTAGGAAAGAGCTGAATGAATTTACTAATTCCTATTCCTTAATCCCTTGTATTCTGTCTGAGTTCCCATAAACAAGTATCAGTTCCTTAGGAAAGGAGATTAATGGAGGGCCATTCCTCTTGATTCCCCATTGACTCCAGTTGTGTCTGGAATTGTTCCCTGAGCTGCAAGAACTTGCAGGCCTCGGTTGTGCAAGAAGCCACACAGCACAGGAGGGGATCCGGCAGAACCACGGTTATCTCGGGATTGGAAGGCACCTGAGGAGTTCAATCCTAGATGGTGACTTATTCTCCATGTGGGAAGTGCAAAAATGATACTCCCTTCTCTACAAAGTAAAAAGAGCCCAGCATATTCATTAGCTGCTAACAGTGTTGCCAGCTAAATAAAAATTTGGCTGCATGCTGTCTGTGTAGTACAAGCTAATTAATGCTTCGATGAAGATCAGAGCTTCGCTCAGCCCAGGGCCCCTAGGGTTGCCTTGCAGTTCCAGAATTATTGAAGCAAAAGAAGCCAATTCATCTGTTTGGCTCAAACAGAAGCCATGGAGAAATCTCTCTATTTCTCTCCAAAAATTGCTCTTAATGTAGCCCTGTCTCAGAGCCTAGGTGCCATGGAAACGAAGCCTTCAAATATGTCCCTAGACAGAACTGAGGGAGGAAAACCTGAGACCTTAGCAAATTCCATCCACTGTCAAGGGTGGTTCACTGGCTCTGGCAACAAGCCCCTTACAATGACGGTTTCTTGTCATGTGGGTGTTTCACTCTTCCTGAATGGAAAAGCCTTAGGGCCACAGAAATAAGTGTTGGCTAAAAGCCTGGGAAGGCAGCAGACAGGATGGATGTGAAACTTGTTCCCGAAGGACGAGAAAACAGGGAGCCCCTGAGATGTTTACGCAGAAAAGAATAAATTTTACTTAGCGAGGTGGGTATGAGCTTTATAAAGCTCATCACCAAGATAAACTGCACCACCATTTCTAAGTATTACAAGTGGACCCTGTGCACCAAAAACAGCTTTAGAAAGGAGAGAAAGCTGAACAGGTGGTTGTCCGATGTAGAGCACCAGTCACTGCCTCCCCCACCCCTGCCCCAACACATTATTTCATACCTAAGAGGTACTTGGGAGCATGTAGTCTCAGAAGTTAGTGAATCCATCTTTTGGGCATTTTGTGCCCTGCTTCCTGAATTTCTTGCATCACTACAATCAGCCCAACAATAATATTAAATTCTGTAGCAGAGAAACGAGCAGCTAACAGGCTCACCTGCTGTCACACTCCCTACCACTGGCAACTGACTTGATTGTATTTCTTTGTCCTGAGACCCTTAAGACACAGCATGGCCAAGCACCCTGGTTCAGAATTACCAAGCACTCCGTGGGCACCACCAGAGAGAGGGTAACGGCATCCTGACACTGTTCCTGGTGTCTTTTCCTTCCGATTTGCCCTCCAAGCTTTCTGATCGTTTTCACTAGCATCTGACATGATTGTGAGTTATACTGGTTTACACAGAAGTAAATAACTAGCGGAAGCAATGTGAGTGCCTTAAGGGAAAGAAGATCTTTTTTTCCTTCTTTAATGAAAGAGGGCACATCAATGAAGCAGTGAGAAGAGCCCAGCTCCCAAGATGTGCTACAATGTTGCTGTAAACTGGCATAACTTGTACTTCTTTTTAGGTAGCAGCAGCCTAGAGCACAGACTTAATTTATTTAATGACCTGAGAACTGAGTTTCTCAGCTCCCCACACCCTCCCTGCACTCACCAGCAGCAGTGAACAAAGTTGAGGGCCGTGCCAGGTCATGGGGGTGGTGGATGGCTCCAAAGAGACTGGGACCTGGGGGCCGGCTCAGGAACTCGGGCTTCAGTCCAAAGTCCAGTTTATGTGGGTCTGACTGCATCTGTTTCTAAAGCAGCAAGGGGAAAAATAAAAGATGAAACCCCAAAAGATACAGGAGGGAAGAAAGATATTAAAAGATTTGAGACTGATAAAAGTCTGAATGGCACACTCTGTCTCTGAGCCCTAAAAGGGTTCAAGGCAACAAACATTCTGAGAATACCAACCTACAAACCACTTATCCCTCAAATGCCAAATCAGCAGGTCAACCCAGGAGGGCTCAGCATGCCACCACGGGGCAGCACCTATTTCTCAGATCAGAAATGTCAAGTAGCAAAACTAGTGTTCAGCCTCTGAGGTTATATGGTTGGAGGAATAAGACCAGATCCCATTTATTCAAACTACCAGCACTTTGGAATAGTTTATTATTCACTGTAAAAGCCTATTTTAGCAAGTTTTTAAATGATAGCATTTTAAAGCTCATTTTATTAGGAATTCTGCATGAATAATCTGCTGTATAAAGTAATTGTTTAATGACTCTTTGCCATGCTCTAACAAATCACAGTACATTAGTAACTGAAAGTTATGAAGAAACATTTGCATGCCTACAAGCTAATTTTCCAATGCTCATTGTTACATATTTCTTAAAAAAACAAACAAAGTCAGGATATTAATTTAACTAATAGGGGTCTCTTTTTTTTTTGCTTATTACCCCAATTACCTGGGGAAGAGGTGATTAGTCCAGACCAGCAAACTAACAAGAACCTCTCTTGAGAAGACCTTATCCACTGTAATCACTTGTTGCTCTTATTTATACATTCACCCTCAAGCTAATTTCTCAGCTCACCTTCCTCCAAGCTGTAGACTTCTCAAACAACCTGGTTTCAAAACTTCCCCACCTTCTTGATCTCAACAACCTTCTCCGAATCAGCGTCACACCTTCCCAGACAAGCACCCCAGTCTGACCTAGGTTCATAATTTTGAGTTTCCCTCCTCCTGTGCCTAGTCTCCCACTTCTTCACACACTTTTCCCCGCTTCTGACTCACTCTTCTTCTGCTCTCTCAGATTCAACACATGCCCCATACCTGTTCCTCTTCAAACTCCTAACATTCTGCTCTAAACACACCTTGGCCCCAGCGTACCACAGAGGATAGTCAACAAGGAGGCATCTGACCTAGCATGTGTGGGAATCAGAGATGAGAAGCTTGTCATTCTGTCTTGGCTCAAAGTAAAATCCCACTCATCCATCATCTCATTTAAAGTGAAACCTACCTGAGCACCTTAAAGCAAGCCCCTTGGAGGCAAGGCACCTTCTACACACACACTGATCCTCATTACTGAACTCTAAGCAACTGGACTACAGGACACATGAGAGACCTCTGAGCCCGTTCCTGTAAATCTGCAGGCAGTGGTCACTCTCAGGAAATATTTGGGGAGTGACTAAAAGAATGAGTAAATGAATGTTTTTTTAATATATATAAAGATTTATTTTTATTTATGTATATGAGAACTGGGGTGCAGGCCAGAGATGGGGGTGTGTGAGAGGATGCACCAGAGACAGAGTGGGGAACAGAAAAGATGGAACGGCTGAAATACACTGCTGAGGGGAGCAGTGGGCTAGTAAGGAGAGGTCTGCTGTGCCATGTGGGTAGCTCCCTGGCTGGGGATCAAACTTGTGCTGCAGTGGCTGTGGTTAGCTTCATAGGCTGCATCTTAACCCCTTGCGCCACCAGGGAGGCCCAAGTAAATGAATGTTAAGGAGAAAGGGGACAATGTAATCTCTGCTCACATCTACAGGGAATACTATCATGCAAATCCCACTATAAAGTAATAGCCAAACCCCCAAACAAAGCTTCTAATTCACTATAAATCTATAAAAATCTTTTGAGTGCCGCCTTTAATTTGGTTGCCAAATAATTTAGTGCTAATATTTTACGGTACACAGCACAGTTCCATTAACCACAACTTAGGTCCATGAAGCAAAATGGAGCTTGGGGATTACAAAGAGTTTGCTGGAAAGGGAAGATGAACAGCTATCTCATGTGCAAGGTCTTTCTAATTGAATTGGGATAATGAAAGTTTTAGTCACTAGGGACCCTTTCATGGAAAAGAAGTTGCTAAACTGGCACATACAACATTCTTCATTGCTTTTAACCAAAGGAGGACGTGTCTTACCTACCGTTTCGCTAATCACATCATCCAGAACAAAAAGTGAATTGAACTAAGCATCAGAATCTAGTTAGCTCTTCAAAGCACATACATTCTCTAACTGAGCTAAACCCTAAGGTTTCTAATTAAATCTCACCTAACAATAAAGTAAAGGTGAGCAAAACTCACTGATGGGAAGTTATGAGGAAGAGCAGGTATTCAGCACCACAGCAAAAGGCCTTGGTAACCTCATTTACAGAAGTTTGCTTTTTAACTTTCAATGAGGTTGGCTTTTTTAACCATTTAAAACATACACACACACACACACACACACACACACACACACACATATATCGTCTCTGATGTCTACTTCTCCCTCCTCATTTATTGGCTTCGTTTATTATTCTCGCAATGGTTCCCACATGCTGTCAGGACTAAAAATGTGGTCACAAAAAAAAAAAATTGGACTAGCTGAGGCTTACTGGAATTACCTGATTGGCTGTTTTGTCCCATTTTTCTAGACACACCTCATAGACTGTGAATACTGGACTATAAAAGTTGGACTTGTCAGTTACAGGCGTGGCTTGTTATACAGTGCCCTGCTTTATTTTGGGTTGCAGATGCTTTTTTTTATAAATGGAAGGTTTGGGCAATCCCATGCCCTGCAAGTTTATTGGTGCCATTTTCCCAGCAGTGCTCACTGCATGTTGGTGTCACATTTCATTATATCATGCGCATCTTTGTTTTTTTTTAGACAAACTACTGCACACTTAACACACTACATCGCAGGATAAACAGAACATTCAGATGTACTGGGAAATCAAAACATTCATGTGACTTGATTTATAGTGATATCTGCTCTAGTTTGGTGGTCTGGACCCAACCCTGCAATATATCCCAGCTGTGCCTGCACATTGTTCCCTAATTCAAATACAGATGCCCACCTGGTCACCTGCTGGTAGTTTAAGACCTCTTCCCTAAGGTGTCATAAAGGCCCTGTAAAGCACAGTCCTCTCTGAAAATACAGACACAACAGAAAAATCATCTGTGTTCAGGTAGGGTGACTGACCAGAGGCTGTATTCTAACTCTTGGCACTGGTCATCAGGAGGCCAGTAAGTGTCACCAGGAAAGTCACTGCCAACCACAGACTACTTCTAGAAGAGTACTTGTTCATAGTATGGTTGCAAGTGGGAGTTCTGTACCTTCCTATAGGGCACAGATTCATCATTTTTCCAAAGCCATAAAATAAAAAGAAAGCACCAGTTCTTACAGAAAAATGTTCATTGAAGAGTTCTTCCCAAATACTAAATATTATACTCTGGTTTCTCTTCAGATCGTATAAATCTTTTGCCTTTTACCAAATACTAAATATTTTCCACACTATTACTTAGATTTCCAAAACTGTTACTATATAATCTAATCTGTATTTAAGCCCTTTGGGTCAATAAGATGACAAAAATCATTCAAAAAAAATATGGGGGAGTTGCCTTGTGTCTTGTCATTTTGCTGGTGCTGGTCTGCTGGTCGGTTCCCTAATAGATAGGATTTCCAAATAGCTTTTCCAAAAGGGATGTAGTCCTTCCTGCCTGTGAGTCTTTAGAATATGTTTTATCTTCTTCCTTAGTCAGGAGACATACCCGCACACCCCCCATCCACCTCTCTCCCAGACCAGGAGGGCAAGACTGACCTTGACTTTCTGTTGGTGGTGGTAGATCTGCCAGGCAATGTGAACATGCATAGCACACCACTTCCCTGGTTTCTGGAATAAGAAAGAGTGATGTGGTCAGAAGGAAGACCATGCAGAGAAAACCACCTTCAATTTCCCCAAAGCTTTTATCAGATTTTGGCTGCAGAGGCTCTTTTTACTCAACAAGAGTGCTTTGTACCCTCCAACTGCTTTTTTCTCAGCAGTTTCTAGTGTCTGGGCCTGAGGAAGCCACAGTCAGTCCCCTCTCCTCCCACAGGAGCCTGAGCCAATGCCTACTACTTAGAGAACCATACTTGATGAGACTTCCCTGGTTACCAAGGACAAAATGGCAAAAGCCCGACCCCCACTTTGCATCTCTTCTCTCTTTCTTTTCTGACGCCAGCTGGCAGACCTGGTAGAGTGGGAAGCCCTGCTTAACAAATGCGGCCATGCTATAATGCAAATCAGCTGTTCAGAAGAGCTAATTAGCCAATGTCTGCAAATCAGTTCAAAACAAGAGAGGGTACAGGACCTGTCATAACCTCCCCCAGCACTGCTTGTTGTTGTTTTAACCCCCAGAGCAGTACAAAGAAATTCACTGCATTTTTATTGAAGCCCAGTTCTCACAAGGGCTTCAAATAAGAGTCAACCACCGGTTCCTAATGGTGGGCAGTGTTCATTTTTAAGTAAAAAAAGAAAGGACACAGATAAAAAAGAACTTGTTCCTTCCTCTCCAGGCCGCTGCAGATATTAAATCCCTCCTCCTCCCTCTGGGAGGATAGCAATCCATGTCTCTCAAATTATTTCATGTTTTGCTTTAATAGCAGTGGAGTAATTTTGAGTGTGTTTTGTTTTACCACCTACAGTGCAGGGACCACCTCTTTCCACTTCATTTGTATTCTTGCTAAGTAAGTCACTCATACACGCCAAAGTTGCACTCAGTAACTAACCGGATGAAGAAGAAATACTGCCCATTCCTACACTGACCAAGAACAGAAGCTTCTGGTTCTCTATTAAGGAGTTGTTTCCAAAATATATACTTAAATCCAAATCTGGGGCCAGTTCTCTTGTCTTGTAATTAAATTATAGGTCATCTGAAATCATCTAATGATAACACAATTCTCTTTTTTTTCCTCTTTGGAGAAACGGAATTATTTTGGTGATTACATGCACTAGAAATGGGTTAAACATAGCAGGACCTCTACTATCCACCCATCTTCAATCCAAACATCCACCACCCTTCCATCCACCTTCTCACCAAGTCATTCAGCATTCACTCAGAGGTCATCTGCTGGCCAATCTCTAGACCTCTCAAGATGTTAACAAAGTAAGGATCACATACAGTAGCCCTTATATACAGTAGGTTGAATGGCTCTGACCAGCCAACATCACTTACTACAGAGTGAGGCAGCCATCAGCCAAAATAAATAGACTTAGATATAAACTTCCTTGGCGTCAGAGAGACAGCACTCAGTGAAATCCTAATTTCAGCCTGTAGTGTAAGTCTTTTCCCTTAAGTTCCCACTAGTCAAATCTTCCCCCAGAACTGCTAGCAAGAGAATCTGACTCAGTTGAATTTCATCTGTTAGCTCTACCTCACTGGCCTGGCTTCTTCCAACACTCAAAGCAGAACAATTCGGGCTATTTCAATCATGCTACCTGAAAAATCCAACCAGTGTCATTATGACATTTTATTTCAACGTTTCTAAGGCTTGTTTCCTTGTAATGGATTTGTATTTTTAACCCACAGGGAGTCAAATAGAGGTTGCAAAACAGTTCTAGAAGAAGCTTTCTTACCCTTAACATAGGTCTGAAAGGATCTGTCAACTGTGAAGAGAAAATGACAACTTGGTTACATGCCTGTCACTCAAACAATTGCTCTAATTAACAAATTTGTAGTGCTTCATTAGGAGGGGAAATTAAAATGTTAGAATTTTACTTTTAAATGAAGCCCTTTTAGAGAATAATTAACCCATTTTCACACTATCAAAAGTGCCAAGTGTCCCCCTCCCCCACTTCACAAGCCTTGGTACATCTACAGTGACAAGCACCCCCTCCCCCAACAAGTTTAATCAATAGCAATTTGCCCTCTGGCAGCACAATTTGCTGACATTACACATCTGAGGAGTTTCACCATCTTGGACAGCCTTCCACACCACACCGCAAGGGTCGAAGGGAGAATGGACCTCAGACCCTTGACGCTTAAATCTGGACAGTAATGGGTATCTAGGGAGAGCTGTCTTCTCCAAACAGAGTCAACCAGGTTATCTTCACCAATACCTTTAATTTGATGACTTCAAGGTATTCAACATTTTGAAGAGGTACACTAAACACCATAAAAATGCTTACATAGTTGAATCATTTTAAATATCCACCTAACTCTGGTAATCAATTTCTGACTGCCCTTATCCAGGGCAAAAGACAATGTTGTTAATCATTTCTGCACATTTACTATGAAGAGGAATATAAGTAATAATCAATGAGACAAGATTCTATCTATGGTATAACTTCAAATTCTTTTTTGAAGTAGGCAGAGGTATAAATTATGAATAAACAACATAACCAAAGCATAATGGATATTTTATTTAGCTCAAGAGCAAGAAAGAATCCTTACCACATTATAAGTAGTGGGCCAGAATAGCTGTGTGGTACAGTGACTTCCTGACCCAAGGAAAGCTGGGATGTGTCCTGACTTCCAGGAAGAAAAGCACTTAGTGCTTTTCCATTCAAAACATTTTACAGCTACTTTATTTTGTGTGAGAGAAATTCAAGGAGATGTCAACAGAGAAGATCAGCTGAGTAGAGACTAGAGAAGCAATATAGTGTCCAGCTCCGGGCTTGGGTCATGAGCCGTTTCTCACCTCTCCCCTATGTCATATGGGCACAATAGGGCACAAGAGACTTTGTTTTCTAAGAGTGTCATTTTCTTCCACAAACTAGAAGGAACAGTTAAGTCAGCAGCTCATTCAAAGGAGCTGAGGAAGGTGGGCGCTCTGGATTGGTCACCCCATACAAACACCTTGAGCACCACTGGAGACCAAGTCTGACTCTGTACCTACCCTTGGGTCCTTTTGGAGCAGTGTGTGAGGGACTGTCCCAGGTCGAGCAGCAACATCAATAGGGTTGGATGTCTACAATGTAATGAAACCACAGTTTAGGAAGCAAACAGCGACACGAAAGCAAGATCTATTCATTTTAAATTACAGAAGTGAAACATTTGTGGGGTTTCTGTTTGTTTCATTCTGGAACACAAGAGTTAACAGGCCCATTTTTTCAGTGATCAGACATGTTCTCCAGGAGAACCTGCTCCCTGTTTTCTCAGGGACCCCTGAGAGAGAGACTGCCCTCTCCAGCAAAGGCATCTGAAAGCAGAGACATGAGCTTTAGCATATTTTGCTGTCACGGAAAGCACAGACCACAAAAAAGAGAAGCCACACATGCAAGCGCTGCTCCTGAATCCCAGCTCCTTCCCAGATGCCGACAGCCCTTACTGTCAAGTGTTTTTTGCTTTATCACCAAACATTCCAAGAAATGCTTAAGTGAACATCATTATAATCTGCTGTATCAGGTGCTTCTCATCAGAAGAACTGAAAGTGTTTTACAGACATTAAGCAAACTCTCTAAATTTTAAACGGCAGACAATAACAAGGAATAACACTCAGTAATTACTCATTAGCAGTGGTGGAAATGGGACAAGAGAACCTAATTCAGGGACCACACAGACCTACTATTAAATGATTTCTAAAGTAATTCTGCTTCATCTTTCCTATTCCCACCACCATTCTTAATATCATTAATAACACTAATCTTATCTGTAGGTTTCTGTCCTATGAATTAACAACCATCATAACAAAAAGCCTACTGCAGGCACAAGTAGCCACTACTTTCTAGTGCATGAAAGATTCGGAGAGAATTTCACCAGGTATTTTATTGAAGAAATCAGAACTTCTGTGAATCCCCTCACACCAGGAAGTTAAGTCGTGTGGAAAAAGAGCTCAAGTTTAGGCACAAAGGAGAAGGGGAGGGAAAAAAAAAAAAGGAATGGAAGAAAGAAAAGCAATCAGCTGCTATACAACTAACAATTACGCTGGAGTTGTTAACAGCCTGATTTGCATACATATGAAGAACTCCACTAATGAACTGCAATCTACATATTCAATCAGTAAGATGGCCTGGAAAGGCCTATTTTCAACACCAGGAGAGACACTTTCTTGCCCAGATGTAGTTTTCTGTGTGATTGGATAATTGTGAGTGAGGGAAATAGTCTAATTTATTAAATGACCTACCAGGCTGTTTGGGGATGCACTAGAGATTTGTTGTAACCTAGAGGGGACAGACCAGGTTACCTCAGAGGGAGCAGTAAAGAGCATATTGGGGGGAGGAGTTTAAAACTCACCATCACCTGAGCCCAAGCTAGATATTCAACACGGCCATGGTAACAAGCGGAAGGGTATAGGGGCTGGCATGGAAGCTGCAATTCCATGCAGGTAAATGTGGTTTCTGAGGCACAGGCATCTCACCCCCAACACTTTTTAATTTCTTTTTCTATTTCTAATTTTAAGGCAACATGACTTCGGAGGTGCAATATGTGCTCATCCAGGGGAGACTCTGGCTCAAAATTGGTGTCTTATTTTAGAAATAGGATGAACCCCTACCCAACCCAATCTCATACAGCAAATTTTCTACTTTAAAATTTGAGAATGGTTATTAACCAGAGACATACATTTTGCTTTTTTGAATGAAAGTAAAATACGGAGCTATAGTAGATTTGAAGGCACAAAAAGGTACAGTTCTGAGAATTACTCCTCAATATTGACCTTCAGAGATAACTCCAGCTCAAGCTGAGTAGAACATCACCGACTGGGCAGAAAAAAATTTAGTGATTATAAGGGTAGTAGGTTAATTTCACACTAGGATGTTAGTAACTGATGACAGTCTTGACCTTGGCAAATGTAAACACGGTTGAGGGGTGGGAAGACTTGACTGAGGCAGAGAGGGAGAAGAGAAGAAGAGAGTTTTAAGAGCTGCCCTCCATCTGCAGGCAGATGGGGCTGAGGAGCGAATGAGGGAGAATGAGATGAAGAATCTTCACTTTACAGAATTAAAAAGACACAATTTTAGTTTGGTACCTTTTTCCTCCTTTCTAATAAAAATCACTGAAGTCTCAGTTCTGCATCTTTGCTAATAATATGTACCTCAAGGACCACCTGAACATATATCTGACATTTCATAAATTTCTGACCAGAAGCTTATATCTACAATATTGGTAGAAATATATATATACATACATATGTGTGTGTATATATATATATTTTGCATATTTTTAAAGAGCATAGGAAATGCTAGCTCAACTGAGATTACATGACGTGGGCAATACCAATTGAAAATTAAACTATCGCTGAGGTTTAAAACTAGATGGACTAGAAAAAAAAATTCTCACTCTAATCCCAATGTTCAGTTTGGATCTAAAAAATTAGCCACTGGCCAGTGAGAGAAAATGCAGAAATCACCTGCACGCTAGCCTGAGGCTCCACTTATAAATATGCCTGTTTTCACTGTAAGGTTTCTTACCTTCGGCTGAAATGCTCCTTGTAGTGAACCAAAAGGGCCAGTGGGTGGAATCATAGGGGGGATGCCCGATACTGCAGGAGGATAGGAATGGAAGAGCTGTGGCCAGAGATGGAGAGGGAAAAAAAGATTTTAGTAGGAGGCAAATGATATATTCAAATTCCTTTCCCATAGAAAGACATCAACATTAGCAAGCCAAGTAATCTCAGTTTGATGCTATTAGTCAAGAAGCCATGATGAAATGATCACACAGATGTGCCATGAATGTTTAACTTAAAAAGTTAAAAGTAGTTCAGAATCAATCAGCCAACAAATGATGTCCCAGATGAGGACATCATTAGAAAGGGAGCTTTTCTAATTATTAATTGTTAAATCGGATAGAAGCCCTAAATGGTTGGAGATTTTAATGCATATCAAAAACAGGAGGGGTGCTGAGCCAAATAAGATGCCCAGAAAATTACAAGTTAATTAGAAAAAGAAAAAAAGAAAAAGGAAGAAAAAGAAGCAAGTCTTTATGAGTTCCAGGATTTTATACCATTAAAACTCAATTAGTACTTTTAGATTTTTAATAGTTTGAGGAAATGAGAAAATATTCACAATCCTTGCTTCATTAAGTTGTTCTAGAAGTGGCAGTTTCAGAGGAAAATTTAATTGTCTCATCTAAAATGATGACAAATATTTGTGGAGGGGTAAAATAAAATGGCTTTCTATGTACTCTCAATGGAGCTACCCATATTTCTAGAAGGTGGACAAGCTCATCAGAGACCACTCAGGTCAAGCCCTAGCCATGTCAGTTTGATCCCTCAATGGAGGGAGAAGAGTGATTCTGAATTAAGAATATGAATATTCTTGAATTAATGCTTTATAGAGGACACATGGAGGAAAGAAATATACAACACTGAAAAACACACTCAAATGCATTTTTACCTCCTTCTAAAAATTTGACATAAGATTCTTATGTTCTAATAAGATTCTAATGTTCTGGTTCCATTTGCTTTGATGAAAACACCATATAGATATTTAAGTAATGTCCCACCCATATGGTTGCACGGTATGTCAAAAATAGAGTAATAATTCAAGCTTTTTGTAATAATGCATTTATGTTAGCTATTTCTAGGTAATGACTGAAATTCACATTTCACAATCCTGTCTGCTTTCAGGGCACGTACTTTTTCTGTTGGTCTTTATCTCATTTTGCTCCCTTCAATGATGCAGCAAAGTTTTTCAGACTAATTGATATTGAACTAAATCCACTTAAACAGTGATTGCAAGCCAAGTGCCCTCATTTAAAACTACTTTTAAGTCTAAAATTGTGTTTTAGATACTTGAGTGCATTGCATCTTAATTCCCCTTATAACATCCTAATCCCCAAAGCAGGGGAGACTAAGTACTTCACGTATTATTCGCTATGACTAATAATATGAAATAACTCTCCCACAGTATACTGTATGAAGCAGGGTAATTAAATACCTGCCACACTAAAACACACTAAAATTTCTATTGCTCTGCCTCTAGGTGGGTATTTTTTCTTTAATGTTTTCAATTAAAAAAAAAAAAATGTTCCCACATTTTCCTTTTGCTTTAGTCTACTGACACTCTTAGAATGTAACTACCTGGACTGAGAATCTGAAGCACGTAAGTAATAAAACATAAACCTTCCAAAAACTCAGGCCTCAAGACTAATTCTCCATCTCAGATCTAAGACCCTCCATGGAATACTCACATAAAAAGGCAATGCATTTGGTCTTAGGAAGCAAATCTGAGCTACCTGTTGAGCACGCTACAGTTTTTTCTGAGAACACTCTTAAATCAGTAAGATAGAGACAAAGGGCAGAAACATGATAATCATTAATGATGGCACCATTCATGGGACAGACCCCCAAACAGAAACCTACAGGGCTACTGGACTTTTCACGTCCATTTAAAAATTATTATGCTGGAGCAAAATAGCACTGGGACAGTGTAGGGGAGGGCGGACAGCTGCAGCACTCAAAGGCACTTTTCTCATTCCGTTCTGGAGAGGCCTTCCTGGAGTTATTTCTGAATGTCTCTAGAGTAAGTAATTCTTAAATGAGTTCTAATGTTTTCTAGTCTTGACTTCTTGGCCACAGTCAGGACTAATACAGTATCTGCCTATCTGGTTCATTGTAGGAATGAATTCACAGGCTTTGTGGGTCTATTAGGAGCACTAGTATTCAATGATAACACTATCCAAAAACTAAAGCAAGAATAATTGAGTATGGTGAATCAACAAGGCTACAAGCAATTATTAATAGTCCTTCTTTCTGATTTCATTAAAAAATATAAACAAACCACTGAGCAAAGAAACTTGCAAAATTGGAGGTAAAAGTGATGCAGTATTCACTCCATAATCAAAATACATGGTTAAGATGTTCAAGGTCTTTGTATAAAAAGAAAACCTTTACAAGTGACTTACAGTCACTGAACATAACTTTTCCAGAATGTACTGTTAAAACTGCATAAGACAGTTTTAAAAATAATGAGTTTAAAGAAAAAAAATGATATATTTCAATTTTAAGACCATTTATTTTAGAGGTAAATACCTCTTACATTTTTGACAGTAACAAGCTCAGAACTAGCGACACAAGTCATGCAGAAGAGGTCTAGAGGGAACAGAATCAGATTTTTGAACAGTTCTGAGTCAAAAAAGATAGGGGACTTGCTATTTGGAAGAAATAATTCAAGTTGAATTCCAGGAATTCTGTGTTAAAGACACTGCAACTGAAGACTAAAATCCTGTAATTTCAGAGACTCCTGAAACTATAATGATTCAACAGCAGATGCCTCACTTTGCAGGATGGATGATGCCTGGCTTTCAGAGAAGTTCAGCTTTGTTTCAAAAGTCTTATGCATGTTTATAATCTTTTGATTTAGAAGGTGATACTGCATCTTTACCCAAGCAAACGTCACAAAAGCAAGCATCCAAAGTGACGAGGAGCAATGGGAATCTTGCAAAGATGATTAAGGAAGGCTGCTAGTCATTGACTGGTCTGTGGCAAGAGCACAAAATGGAAAAGCAGTCATAGCAAATGGGTAGCAGGGTAATAAGACTCACACTGTGCCGGTAGAATGGGTCAACTTTTGTAGGGTATTTGTCAAACTGTAAAGGGATCAAAGCAAAAGCTAGTTACTTAAAGAATCTACATTTCTGTTCACTGCATCAGCGGAGATAGCCCTATGCAAGCTTCTCTGTCATTGTGCTGTTGTCAGACTCCAGAACCTCACTGTCTAGGAAAAAATTCTGAGCTCTTGCATCACTCTGACAAGAAACCAACAGAAATGGAAAAAAACAAAGTGAGAACCCATATGGTACTTTTAGGTCCTGGTCACACAACTGTGTTTTTCTTTCTACTCTATATTTAGAGATGGACTCAAACCAAACATCTAAACCTCAGTTTAGAGAAAAGAGGCAATTATTTAGATAAATCAGAGAGAAGTAAGCATTTGGTCTGATTTATCCAGAGAATTTCCTCGATTTTCAGCTTCTCTTTGGCAGAAGAAGTGTACACTCAGCTGTCTTCTGAAATGTATTATGCTCAAATACAAAGCAACTCAGGCTCGGTCTTGGAAGTTTTCTTTGGAGCAGGAAATAGTACCCCCTTCTTTCCTCTAAATAATCCTCCTCCTCCTGTAACTCCCCCCAGTTAGATTTAATTTATTTGTGAAACAGCTTGCTCAGGCTGGCATAAATGCTTTCAAAATAATAGGACCTTAAAAAAAAATCTAAGTGTGGAAACATACAACTCATTCAGAAAAAAGATACAAGCTTTGCTGTAGGGAAACAATGTCCACCTCAAGGTTTCATATCTAATATTCTACATAAAATTAAAAAAAATATATCCTTCAAATAATATTTTAAAACAGTCAGTTGACCAAAATGGGGGTGGGAGGAAGGAAGAGTTTGGTGAAAGGAACTCCTCCTAAACTCATGGAATTCAAATCTATTCTCAGAAAGTCTATAGAAATTACCTTAAAATACTTATTTCCTTAAGTATCAAAAATTAAGAAAGCACACCAATCTAACGCTCATTGTTCAAGACAAGACTTTATCAGGGTATTTAATTTTAATTTAACTTAAACTTTCCATAGGCCCTAAGCAAGAGGAGAAATTCTAACTGGTTCCTGTGATAGGTGCTAATCCCCATCTGGACAAGAACCTGTCATGGCCACCGCACCTTTTACCACAGGCTGGTTCTGTCTCTACAGAGCACATCGCCCCTGACCACTTGCTGACAGAACCCAATATCAGACTGGGGTGCTGTCTTATGAAACACAAGAAATAGAAGGCCTCCAACATGGCAGGAGTAAGGAGACCATCTGTAGAGCAGGTGGCACCCAGTGAGGTATGAGTCTCCTGACAGCTCGCTTCCCATCCGTCCATCCCTCCTCCTGCCTTCCAGGATTCTGTGAGCACTTTTTGTTAGTGTTTGGTACAAAGCATAGACACTTTTTGTATCTGGTGACAACTCCTATGATGCTCAAAAAACCAAAATGACCCTTTAAGAAGTTAATTACCAACACTGAATGTGACTGATTTGAGGACATCTAAAATTCACCACAGTATCAGATATAACTGTCCAGAAAAAAGTTCCTGTGTTGGGTCTGGGACAGTGATGCCTGCAGCAGGGCAAGTTCCCTTCTCTCTAGGCCAAGGAGCCCCCTAAATGGCTATCACGCCCCATCCAATCTCCTGTGCCCCAACAGCCCATCCCAACCCCACCAAGCTGCATAAAAAAAGAGTCGTGCTCTACTTATCCTCACATTTCTGCCTGGGGTACGCACCATGGGAGGTGCTGGCGTCGGCATGATGGCGGTGGGCGGGAGGGCGTGGGGGAACGGCGTGAAGGTGTGCTGGTGTGTGTGCTGGTGCGTGTGCTGGTGTTGGTGCTGGTGCTGGTGGAACTCGGTCCGCAGGTAGGGCGGAGGGCCCAGGGATGCCCCACGGTCAGCACTCTGAGAGGCCAAAAAACGTGTGTTCAGTTCCTGTCGCAGGATGTCTTGCTCTGGAAAAGAAGAAATGGAGAAGATGACACCTTTTCCAGCCACATCTAGTGCCTTCAGAATAGGACATCCTGAGTACAGAGGGACTTGAGGGCCAAGGCACAGGAGCTGAGGCTTGCAGGGGTGCAGTTGGGCCCTTAGGTGGAAGGGGACAGACAACCAGAAGAAGATCCTAAGGCCCAGTCACAAGTGAATTCTCCTGATTGCTCTACCAGCCTCTCAGCTTTCAGGGGGTGTGGTCTCTCAGGGAGGTGCACTGACAGACTCCAGGCAAATGGCCAGAGTCACTTTTCAGCTTTGTGACTGCCAGGTGAGTGTCCCTGGGTGTGGGAAATTGCACATCCTGATCTCAGTTTCTTCATCTATCATATGGGAATGACCCTGCCTGCCTTGCGGGTTTGTTTTCAGGAGGAATTAATATATGTGAGTGCATAAGAGCAGGGCCAGGCTGGTAACAGATGTGACTTGTTAGAGTAGCAAGGCCCTCCTGCCTCTTCAAGGGCAAGTCTCCGCAGCACAGCTCTCTGTGTCCATGGTGCAACAAGGCTATAGTAAGCGCCAAACCGGGGCCCTGGGCCTGATGAATAAAGGAGAGAAGAAAGGACTGAGAGCCAACACTAAGTCTATCCTTGAACTTTTGGATCTGTTGTCATGAAAAGTCCATCACCCCTTCCAGGAGGAGAGAAGACCCAGCTGAAGCAAACCCTTCAAACCAGGGTGCAACAGAAGATCGTGGAGTGAAACAGACATGGGCCTGGGAAGTCATGGCCACTCTCTCAGGAGCCTGGGCAACAGGACACACGCAGTCTGGCTGACCACTCCGTGGGTGAACTTAGAAAAGCCTCCTGACTTCCAGCACAGCGGCTGTCTTCGGGCAGTGTGCGAGCCACCTGGTTGTGCTGGGTTGGTGTGGGTGCAGGGACATACTTTTGCGGAATCTTATCCCACAAAGAATTAGAGGAAGATTATAAGAATACATATAATAAAATCAAGAAATCATAAGCCCTAGCAAACAGGGACAACACAGACAGCTGGGAGATGGGAGGCACAGGTAAGGAAGGCAGTGTCTCCCTCCTACCTGAGTACGTGCTCCCCGCCGGGTGTCCGGGGACCTGCAGACTCCCTGATGTCAGTGGTGGTGGAGGAGGCAAAGCAGTGGGAGGGGCAAACATATTGGGGTGATGTGAGTGTGCGGGGGGCTGGAGGGTGGGTGTGAAGCTGTGCAGGGGGCTGTGGTTGGGCAGTGAGAGGGGGAACGGGGAGGCTGAGGGGTGGTGGGAGATGTGAGGAGGGGCAGGCTGAGTCTTCGCCGGGGTGCTGCTTCTGCTACTGCTGTTGGAGTGAAACAGAAAAAGAAACAAAAATAGAGGTAATTAATTTTCTTAACAAACTCCTACCTCTCTGTCCAAAGCCATTCAACACCTTTTCTCTCACCCCTGCCTTACAGACCCACCCCCGTGCACACAGCAGCCTTCTCTGGAAATCACTGCTCCTTGAAACTTTCTATCACCACTGCTGACCCAGCAGAACAGCAACTGCTGCTCCAGCTACTGCACATGTTGGGTTCCAGCAGGCTGATTCTGCTCTCAACTTGGTCCACTCCTACCTCCATGGCCAAAATCTCATTTCTGCCCCTAGAAAGCCCTGTGCCTGCCCACCTCCATGAGGCTCATTTCCTGTCAAGTACTACAGTTAACAAACTGAATAAGAACGATGACCGTCTGTCTGCCTCCTCCTCGGTGAAGAAGCACAGAGAAGAAGTGAGACCAAGAATGCAGGTTCCTTATAACCCCCGTGGTCTAGAGGCCACAGAAGTGCCCTTGGGGTCAGAAGATGGCCCCGTGGGGGATTGCTATTCCCTCACCTGTCACAGACAGGAAGAAAGAGATCCCCAAAACACCAGTCACTGGGTCGTCACAAAGAAAATAACCAAAGATACAAAGCCCCTCAAGATGTGAGAGGTTAGAAGTATAACCATCGGGGACACCCAAGGGTGGGGGACACCTGGTCCTGAACCCTGGGTGTCTCGCTCTTCCTTGGAGGTCTCCATTGTGCTACTTTTAAAAACTGCTCTTTGTAATTTGGCAAACAAAAGAGCGTTGGGTCTCTGCGCAGGGACTTCTCTCTTTCTCTAATACAGCTTGTTTCTTCTCTGCCTGCCTGGCCCACTCGGAGGAAGTGAATCACAATGAAAAAAACTCAAACCAGAGTACTCCGTTGCTAAGAGAGGTGGCTTCTTCAAAGTGCCTCACTCTGAGGGAAACAGCCTTCTTCTAAGAATCTTCCAACAGTCAGTGATCTCTGAAGTTTCTCAGGTTTCGAGTCCCTGCCTCTCACAAATGAATGGTGGAGCTCCCAGGTGCAGTGCCCTCAACTCTGTGTCTTAAGCATTCTTCTCCTTCCTGCCTTCGCTCCTCCAGGAGTCTCTGTAGATGTTTTAGTTCTTTAACAATGTCCTTACTACCTGACTTGACCCAACCTGTATACTCAGGATAGCGAGGCTCACCTGACAGCCCCTTTCACTGTCCTCGTCTCTAGCTTATTTTCCACAAGGAATACAGTGTCTTTAGGAATTTTTATCCACTACTACCTGCCTGTCCCAAAAGTGACAAAAAGTCAAGCAGGAAAAAACAAACAAACAAAAAACAAAACAAAAACCAAGCAGGTTGGCTCACCTTAAACTGTTGAGGCTTAAGCTACTGCTGTTGTAAGCAGACAGTGGCTGTGAGAGACTCTGAGACGAGGGGTGGGCCTGCACAGGTGGGAGATTCTGGTGGAGCAGCTGGGTGGGGGACTGTGGCCTGGGTGGCCTCTGCACCTGAGGCTGTGGAGCGGGCTGAAGTTGGGCCTCTGGGGGGCCCTGTGGTGGCTGTGTGCTTGGACGTGGGGGCTGAGGCGGGGCCTCTGTGCGCTGCACCAGGTCGGGGTCCGGAGAAGGAGCTCGGGCTTGGGGTTCCGCCTGGGGCTGGGAAAGCGGCTGTGGGACCTGAGGGCAGGGGTCTTTGAGCACCACAGGCTCAAAGATCGGCTCTTTGCAACAGTCCTGGCTCTTCTCCTGGCTTCTCTCTAGACCCGATATCTTGGGGACAATCGGCCCTGCATCCTGGCTGTCATGTTCGGGTAGTGTGCCAACACCTAACTCCGGATCTGTATGGGGGAGAGCAAAGACAAAACCAGAGGCAATGACACATGAGTATGAAATGAGGAGAAAGCAATCTCCAAGACCAGATCATACAGCCCCCATGACATGGCCTTGTGCCGTGCCCGGCTTCCTGTCCCATCCTCGCCGCCTGCAGTGCGGGGCAGACGCACACCATGAACCGCGCCAGTGGGAGATGGAAAGATGATGAAGAGCCCGGCCCCTCCAGCAGCCCTGGCCCTGCAGGGAGAAAGGCAAGCCAGCCGGAGGAGACTGCATTCCAGAAAGCAACTTAGGCCACAGAGAATCTGAAAATGAATGTTTTCCTTCATCTTGGCAAAGCCTTTCATGAAGCAAAATTAAGAAACAATAGTCAACAAGCTGATTTTTCCTGTTTAAAACAAATACAGTTCTTGAATCTACAAAAGAGAAGTGTTTTCAATAGTAAATGAAGCAAATGTTATTTAACCACACACAGATGTTCCTTCTTGGTCTTGCCTTCCTCTTCCAAATCCATTTTGTCTGATGGGACACATTTGACATTTAGAGAAATAAATTTTTGTTTAGCAAGTGCTAAACTTCTGGTCAAAAGTTCAGCCTCCTAATACTCACCAACTGATCTCAGCAGCAGTTGAGATCAAAGGTGCAAATGTGAATCTAAGTCAAATTTACTCTATCTACATGTTAGAAAAGAATTCCCCTGGACCACTCACCCAAATGAGGAAAAAAGGTGGGCTGCTAGATGTACAATTAAGTAAAATTCTATAAGCAAGAAGAGAAATGTAGAATATACACGTTCCTGTATGAATTGAAAAGGTACGTTTGTCACCAAAAGTCTAAAGATCTCAGTGCCAAATATAGTATAAACAAGGGGTGTTTGATTATCTTGTAAGTCAAATTCCATAGTGTCTGCTAACAAATTAATGGCATTAAACAGAAGGAAATGGCCTTACTTATGAGCAAGTACTTTCGTATGTATCTATAGGGAAAAATCACCTTTCCTACATTTTTGTACAAAAAGATCCATTCTTCTCTTTTATGAAATGTTACAAACAGGAAGAGACTAGATGACAATACTGTCGGAAATGAGGAGCGTGTTCTAGGCATTTCAAACAGAACTGCCTTTTGGCATGAATCTTCTCCTCCTATGTCACTGTACCAAGTGTGAAAAATACCCGGTATTCTCATTGTTCCTACTAATTTGTATAAATGTTCTCATCAATATACTCTTGTCATTTTTCTTCCCTGGAATCTGCAGCAAAGCAATTCATTATTTTCACTGTTCCTTTGCTAAAACAGATAAAACCTGTACCAACATTGGTTGCACATACAAAGCATAGTTTTTGGCTACAAAGAAATTTGCCATATTCAAGTCCCTCGGACACACCTGGAGAAATCACATCAACATGGTGGAAAGAAAGAAAGAAAGGAAGATTTCTGCCTATGGTAAACTGAAATTTTATGAATTCCCCAAATCGTACTTTTTCTAACTTGTGTGGTGAAATAGAACATCAAGATACTTGATGTGGACAGACCCCTTTCCGTCAAAAAAAAAAAAAAAAAAAAAGTTAAATCACCAAGAAAGACCCTTTATCTGCAGACACCACAGGCAGATGTTCTGTCTCTGCCTCTCTCTCAATGCTTTTTCTATCATTTTCACAAGATTTTCCATAGCAAGCAATTATACAAGGTCAATGAAAACCATAGGCTCCATACAACAGAGGTTTGTTTGTTAGGCCTGGAGAAAAAGCACAAACAGTCCAAAAATACGGCATAAAATAAAAGAGGTTTTACTCAGTGAGAAGTTCTATGTGTGAAAACAGGAATTCTTCCCACCCTGACAGCTAATTTAGGATCATTCTGTTCCACACAATGGCAGGAACATGTTTTTATCCTTTTGTACTGCTTTGTTCTCTCTGGACTGGAATGGTAAAGAATAAATACAGAAATATTTTCTATCACATTAAGTTTCAATTAAAGTCTTCCTCCAATAATTAAAGTCTAAACCAAGTTTCTTCTTCACATAAAAAAAGCAAACCTTGTTTCCAAGGGCCAGCACCCAGGGAATGTCATTTAAATTTACTTCTGCTGGTAAGAAAGCACGTCAGAAATACATAGATAAGTACTTCCTATGTCTAGCTTGGATCTGTCTCCTTGTTCTTTATTTAATGAATTTGGACAACACAGCCAAGTTTGCAGAAGGCACTATTCGGTCTTGGGCTTGTTTCCCAAGGCTCTGTAAAGGCAATGGAGTTGGTTTTCACTGTTGTCTCCTTTGTTGTGTCCATTGTTTCAGTAAACACAGTTGGAGTAAGAGACTGGAGCCATTGTCACCACTGACAATCGAGGAGGTGGGAAGACAAAAACCTTCCCGGAGTACCCTGTCCATCTGGACAGGGTATGAGGAATGACTGAGAAAACCTAGAAGCACAGAATTTTGGACAAGACTAGAATCCAGAGGCCATGCCCACACTTCTCAAACTTAAATGTGCACAAAGATCACCTGAGGATCTGATGAAAATGCAGATTCTGATTCCACAGCTCTGGGGTGAGGCTCCAGAATCTGCCTGAGAATCATCCAGGTGATGCTGAGAAACAGTCTGTGAGTAGCCAGGATTTCATCCAGAGGAGGAATAATAAGCCCAGAGAATTTAAGAAACCTGCTTACTGGAAGATCATCTGGCTGTTTACTAAGTCACAGGCCTTGGGTGTTAGTCCCAACTCTGCCACCACCAAAACAGCCTTTTCTCTAATTTTACACTATGCTGCCCATTAAGAAGCAAACATCCTCAAACAAAGCAGGTAAAAGTAAATGCAGGATTCAGTGAAAATGTTTAAGTACAACCAGACAGTACAAAGAGCTAGAAAAGCTACAAAGAGTTGCTGGAATACCAAACTTCAGCTCACCCTGAAAGCTATCATCAATCCATCAAAGCTGTGCTACTGCAACTGATAAGCAAGGCAGTGACAGATTTGAAGGCTGGTAAGAACTTTGGGGCTGAAACGGTTTTATGACTCCCCTTTTACACAAATCTCTTGAGGCACAGATTAGGCGTCATGCATTTTTGTGGCTAATCGGTAATGCATTTCCTCTTCCTTTCAATTATTCAATAACTGTACCTTCCCAGTTAAGCTTTTCCATCTTGACAGTCAATTTGTTTTACTGTGCTTCTCCAAAATTGGCAAGAACACATCACAAAAAATCATTTTGTATTGCTCTGTGTGCTTTGAATTTGCCAAAGAATGAAATTTGCTGAGGTTGAAAGATATAAGAATGTGCACGTTGACTAGTCTTATTTAAAAGTTTTATTCATTATGTTTTGGGATTCTAAAATCTCCCTCTTCTTGTGATTGTAAAAATAACACATCATGCTTATAATAAAAAGCATGCAAATTAAAATTACACTGCATACTGTACAGTAAAAGGGTAAATTTACAGCATGGAGATCATATTTAAGTGAACAGAAACAATTTTTCTATTAAACTTAAGGGTAGAACAGGCAAAAAAAACCTTAAAAACAAATGCAATACAAGTTCCAATTTATTAGTAGAATGTAAATACTACAACTTCTGTGAAGGGCAATTTGGCAACATTTAGTCAAATAAAGGAGTTCTCTTGACCTGGTGTGTAAAGATTTGGCCCAGAGACACAATGAAACAAGATCATGGTTTGAATTGCAATTTTAGAAACAACTCAAATGTAATCATTTTTAAATAAACTTGGTATAGTCATACAATGGAAAAGAGTGTAGCAGTAAAAATGAGTGTGAAACCCTGTGTGTACAGTAAAGCATATGATAACTTAAGTGAAAAGGGGGAAAATACATATTCATTTCTACTTTGGAAGGTCTGGGAGAATACCAAAGAAACCATGGACAGTGGTGATTACCTGTCTGGGGTGTAGGACAGTGAGAACTGGACAGGCAGAGAGCTGAAGGATGGTGAGATATTTTACAGGATATCTACATATATTTAAATTTCAGAACTATGTGCTTATGTTACCTATTACATTTTTTAAAAAATATTTTATTTTATATAATTCTTACATCTTTTTTCATCTTTGCACAATGTATGCATTTTCATTTTGGTTATATTCCCCATACAATTGTACCCCCCCCCCTTATTTTGACTCTAGTCCTTCCTTTCCCTGCCCCCTCCCCCCCACTAGTTGATTTTGATTTTTTACTTTTTGATTTTTACTTTGTATTGATTAGTCTTTTTCCTGGTCTCTTATTTAGGTTTTCTAAATTCCTGCTATGAGTGAGACCATCCGGGATTTTTCTTTTTCTTTCTGACTTATTTTGCTGAGCATGATCCCTTCTAGCTCTCTCCATGTTGCTGCAAACTGCATGTGTTTATCTTTTTTGATTGCTGAGTAATAGTCCATTGTGTATATGAACCACATCTTCTTGATCCATTCATCTATTTTGGGGCATTTGGGTTGTTTCCATAGCTTAGCTTTTGTAACTATTACATTTTTCTAAAAAAGAAAATGATCTTTAATTTTTAAAGTCTGAGCAAGACAAAGAAAAGCAAACAAAACTTGGAATCTGAAAGGTGGCATAAATATAGTCATGGTGAATGTATTTTATATGAAAATATATTATGGATAAATTTATAGAAAATTTGAAAATAAAATGAATTTTATGAAAAATATAAATTACTAAAACTGACCATTATAAAAAACCTTATTGTGAAAACAAACTTAAAACAGTATGCAATAAACACCCCCACCCCACTTTTTAACCATGAAAGATAATAGGTGCTTACAGTGATCCACAATGTGAACCAAATTTGAAGAAAGAAATGATTCCTGTCATTTAAACTGAAAACCAATAGCAAAGATACAACAAAAGAAGAGGCAAACTATTATTTACAAAAAATATAACTGCCAAGTTAGAAAACATAAGACAACCAGCTGAACAAATAATAGAACTATTAAGAGAGCACAGCAAGGTGTCCAAATAAAGGAAACCCACAAGTATCAATGGCTTTTATACCAGTCAGA